CAATAATCAATTTGTCAACAATAAACCACCTGAAGATAAATTCAATAATCAATTTATCAACAATAAACCACCTGAAGCTAAATTCAATAATCAATTTTTCAACAATAAACCACCTGAAGCTAAATTCAATAATCAATTGTTCAACAATAAACCACCTGAAGCTAAATTCAATAATCAATTTATCAACAACAAGCCACCAGAAACTAAAATCAATAATCAATTTTTCAACAATAAGCCACCTGAAACTAAAATCAACAATCAATTTATCAACAATAAAACTATCTATAATCAACCTAAGTATAATACTACAAAGGTAATTTAAAATACTTATATAGATTATTTAGTATCGCATATATATGAAGTTCTAATATCAGATATACAATTATGTATAATTATTTAATAGCATAAATATTCCTCGTTCACAATAAATTACACAATCAATTCTCCAATTAATCGTGACACAATAAAAAATACATTTCAAATTCCTGAAAGAACAACGTTAGAGGAGCTACTTTCTTGCATAAACAAACAAGTTACCAACTCTTCTTTTAATAATATCTCTGAAGGTATTCCGAGAAAGTTTTACTATGAAAATAATTTTAATCAAAAAATTATGATAGTTGATGAAGAAGATTGGAGGATTGCTAAATGGGAAAGAAAGAAATCTGGTAATACGGAATTTTCTATAAAGTTTTGTTGATTTTTACTACATTATATTCTTTATTATACTATGGATTAAGTTTTCTGGAGATAATGTTTTATAGTAATATAAAAAAAAGTGGTTGTCTATTTTTAAATCAACAGTTACTTGTTAGTTTAAAACAACTATTGCATTATTTGATGCAACTTATAATTTTTGTACCTGCTATACAATAACAGTTTCACTTTGCTAAAGGGGTGTGAATTTTATGGTTATTAAAATAATCAATAATTTGTGATGAATGATGCTAAATTCTTTACATGTGAATAAACATTCATTTTGCATTCAATGAGCTTAAATCACAGATTCATATATTCTTTAAAGAAAAACTATACGGCAATATTCTATAATATGGAATCGAAAACTCTCAGGACTATGAAGTTACCGAAGATGATGACGATTCACTCAACCCTGTTTCTTATTTTCAAGCAAAGCATTGAGTTTTTTCTGAGCTGGAAATCATTGAACCTTTATTATTTACTTATGTCTATTTAAACCTTTAAGTGTTCTTCATATTCGGTAATTCATATCACTTCTAAAATGTACCAAGTTTCTGGTTTCAGTTTTTTGATTGCATTGTTTTTTGTAGTTATTAGCAATTTTTTATTATCGATATAATACATTATAGAAAAGGTATCGCATTTGCTTTCGAATATTGGAATACAATCTACCTATTATACTGTAATAAAAAACAAAACGACTAGAGATGTCCTTCCACAAAATACATTTCACATAGACTTTATCAGAAATGTGTGATGGTCTTGTTAATAAATTCACTGGTCGCTAATATTTTAAATTTTATTTCGCGAAATGTAAGATCAATTTGCGCAAAGATAAGAGACTCTAGTCACGACTTTGGGTTTAAAGTCGATCTTTTATAGTTGCCTTATCCCTTAATTACGTAATTCAACTGCAATGCTGAAATAAATAAATTTCTCCAAATATAATCGTGTATCTTATCGACTAAGCTACCCGGAAGAATCGTGAACTTATAAATTAGATCTTATGGGATTTGCTTAGTAGTTTTGCCATGGCGAGTCATATGAATATGAAAAACTAGCTCCTAACCCTATATACAAAAAAATGATAACAACGACAGCCAACTTTACATCATAACGTAAATTTATAAGTCATAATAAGTTATAAGGAGGATCATAATAGCAGATAGCAACATTGAACGACGGCTAGTGATACCAACACAATGCTTCTATTATAGATTTTACTATATAATTAAAGGGCAATAATTAAATACTCTGCTAAACTCTAGCGGTCACAATAGCTGAAATGATTTAACTTTTTTACTTATATAGAAATATAAGTTTGTATAATGGTACAAAATTCTTTATTAAATTATAGTTACCAGTTGCATTTATGACGAATTTTTCCATAGTTGTAAATTAAAACTTTTATAGTGATATAAATTACTTAACTTGTTCCTAATAGTTATGCAAAGTATATCTGAAAATATATAATCGTATTCAGATGTTAACCACCAAACATTTAGAATAATATGGCCAATACTTGCCAAAATACTTGTCAAAAATATAATACTGGGCGCATCAAAAAGGGCGTCCGTTCATTTTCAAAATCTATCAATATGTCTCTTATTGCTCGAATGGCTTTTGAAGCAGAAGATTTTAACGGAGTATACCTAGTTGGCAATTGTTATTAATATGAAAAGGATGAACGTAAGGCATTCATTTATTATCAAAAATTTGCAGAGATGGAGAATGTTATTGAAATATAAAGCATTCATTTATTTATCAGATATGGGGTATGTTACTAGAATATATAATGTTGGACGTTGTTATTACGTATTATGGAATTGGAGTTGAAAAAGGATGGATATTCATTTATTTTCAAAAATCTGCGATGGGGATGCTGGTAGAATATATAATGTCGCGCAATGTTATAGAAATGGAATTCGAATTACAAAAGACTTACAAAAGGCCAATGAATGGTACCAGATGTAAGTTACTTTTATCCTATTTTTTATAATTTATATAAATTTTCTTTTTAATAACTATAAATTAAAAAAAAATTATTTAGGGAACAGAAGCAAACGTTATGTGATTAGTTATCATTAAAGCTATTTATTTATTTATTAAATTATCAAAATATGACAATTTAACTTTCTTCAAAAATAAATAGGCGAATACATGAAAATTTAGATATCAATGATAAATTAAAAGAAATACTAGATAAATCGAATATCAATTATCTTGAATTTCTTATAACGAATTTGAAGATATACGATATTTAAGACAAGGTGGATTTGAAACAGTGTATTTTGCATACTGGTTTGATCGAAAGTTGAATTATGTGTAAACGTGTTTGAACATATAACAATTTTATATTTAATAATTTATTCTTAATGCTAAAGTTAAAAGCATATCGTGACATTGGCAATAAAAACCCATTGTTTTTAATATGCTATGGAATATCAAAAGATGAGATTTCTAAGAATTATATTCTTGTTATGCAAGTGGTAGCAGAAGATTCTTTACGTGAAAACCTTGTCTCTGTAGCACAAATAAAATGGAAAGATAAATTAAATTTATTGCATTGTATTTCTTCTGATCTTGAAAAATTCATTCTCAAAGAGATTTGCAATATTTTACTAAACAGTTTAAGCAGTGCATATATTGCAACCCACCTAGCATTACCACCCAAATCAGTTACGTAATAGTAGTTTGAAAATTAAATCTGAGTTATTTTATTCTCAAAATTTAAAAATCAAGA